AACAGCATGGTACTGGTACCAAAACAGAGATATAGACCAATGGAACAAAACAGAGGGACTGGAGGCAACACAACATACATACAACTATACAATCTTTGATAAACCTGACAAAAACAAGCAATGGGGAAAGGATTCCATGTTTAACAAATGGTGTTGGGAAAACTGGCTAGCCATGTGCAGAAAGCAGAAACTGGACCCCTTCCTGACACCTTACACTAAAATTAACTCCAGATGGATTAAAGACTTAAACATAAGACCTGGCACCATAAAAACCCTAGAAGGAAATCCAGGCAAAACCATCCAGGACTTAGGAGTAGGCAAGGACTTCATGAACAAAACACCAAAAGCATTGGCAACAAAAGCCAAAATAGACAAATGGGACCTAATGAAACTCCACAGCTTCTGCACGGCAAAAGAAACAGTCACTAGAGTGGATTGGCAACCAACAGAATGGGAAAAAATTTTCGCAGTCTACACATCTGACAAAGGGCTGATATCCAGAATTTACAAAGAACTCAAACAGATTTACAGGAAAAAAACAAACAAGCCCATTCAAAAGTGGGCAAAGGATATGAACAGACACTTTACGAAAGAAGACATATATGAGGCCAACAATCATATGAAAAAATGCTCATCGTCACTGGTCATCAGAGAGATGCAAATCAAAACCACATTGAGATACCATCTCACGCCAGTTAGAATGGCGATCATTAAAAAATCTGGAGACAACAGATGCTGGAGAGGATGTGGAGAGAAAGGAACACTTTTACACTGTTGGTGGGAGTGTAAATTAGTTCAACCATTGTGGAAGACAGTGTGGCGATTCCTCAAGGCCTTAGAAATAGAAATTCCATTTGACCCAGCAATCCCATTACTGGGTATATGTCCAAAAGACTATAAATCGTTCTACTATAAGGACACATGTACACGAATGTTCATTGCAGCACTGTTTACAATAGCAAAGACCTGGAATCAACCCAAATGCCCATTGATAATAGACTGGATTGGAAAAATGTGGCACATATACACCATGGAATATTATGCAGCAATCAGAAATGATGAGTTTGTGTCGTTTGTAGGGACATGGATGAACCTGGAAAACATCATCCTCAGCAAACTGACACAAGAACAGAAAATGAAACACCGCATATTCTCACTCATAGGTGGGTGATGAAAAATGAGAACACATGGACACAGAAAGGGGAGTACTAAACACTGGGGTCTATTGGGGGGAAAAGGGGAGGGCCAGTGGTAGGGGGAGGTGGAGAGGGATAGCCTGGGGAGAAATGCCAAATGTGGGTGAAGGGAGAAGAAAAGCAAAGCACACTGCCATGTGTGTACCTACGCAACTGTCTTGCATGCTCTGCTCATGTACCCCATAACCTATAATCCAATAAAAAATAAAAAATAAAAAAATCTTATGTAAGAATGAGCCATTTTATTTGTGGTTATATTTTTTCAGATTTTAGTATCAGATTATAATTACCATATAGAGTAGGTTAGTATACTTTTCTAAACTTTGTGTCAGATTATATAATATAATTTGTTCAAGATAAAATTTATTCCTTGAAAGTTTCAAAATAGCCAGGAAATCATCTCATTTAAATTTAAGTTGCATCACTGTCAAATGGGATTCAATCTCTAGTTCATTCGGAATTAAATATTTCACTCTTTTAAATTCTGTGTTAATCACCCCTATTATGTATGCTTCAAAGCATTCAGCTAGCCACCTTTTTAAAGAATGGCCACTTTTAAAAACAGACATTTTCCTCTCTTATACATGACATGCCTATAATGTGCTGTACAAAAGCATATTACAAAGAGAATGCTTTAAAACTGAAGTATTTGTTTCTGAAGTACTATTAAGGGCAATCAATTAATCCATTGAATGTTTATCATATCCAGATTTTGTATCTATATTTATTATCTCTTAGGAATATAAATACCATACTTCTTCTATCTGTATATAATCCTCTTTCATAGGCCAATTGTGTCCTCTAATACATTGACGCCCAACATCTGCTACCACACAAGGAGACTTTATTTGGAGATAGGGCCTTTCAACAGGTGATTAAATTAAAATGAAGCCACTGGGGTGGACCCTAAACCAATCTGACTATATCCTTCTTAGAAGAGATTTAGACACACAGAGACACCAGAGATGGGTATACACAAAGAAAAGAGCATGTGAGGACCCAGTTAGAAGGCGGACACCTTCAAGCCAAGGAGAAAGGCCTCAGGAGAAACCAAATCGTCTAACACCTTGACTTTGGACTTCAAGCCTCCAGAACATATAAATAAATAAATTTCTGTTTACACCACCAAGTCTTTAGGACTTTGGTATGGCAGCCCAGCAAACTAATACACGCTTTTTATTTCACATGCCCTCAGAATGCCCATGTTTGACTAGCATAGTACGTCTGCAAGTCTTTGACAGAGTTTAATAAAAATTCAAGATTTTACCATAGAACCAAGAATTAAGAATAAGACTTTACCACTTTGGGAGGCCGAGGCGAGTGGATCACAAGGTCAAGAGATCGAGACCATCCTGGTCAACAAGGTGAAACCCCGTCTCTACTAAAAATACAAAAATTAGCTGGGCATGGTGGCCCGCACCTGTAATCCCAGCTACTCGGGAGGCTGAGGCAGGAGAACTGCCTGAACCCAGGAGGCGGAGGTTGTGGTGAGCCGAGATTGTGCCATTGCACTCCAGCCTGGGTAACAGGAGCGAAACTCCATCTCAAAAAAAAAAAAAAAAAAAAAAAAAAAAGAATAAGACTTTCCTAGTAAAAAATAATGTTAAGTGGCAATCCAAAAGAGAAAGGATTGTCTTTTCAACAAATGGTGCCAGAATAGGCCAAGAAGAAATTCATCTAGATACAGATCTCATACCCCTCATAAAAATTAGCTCAAAATAGATCAAAGACCTAAATGTAAAATGAAAACCTTAAAAATCTCTTAGAAGATTATACAAAAGAAAATCTAGGTGACTTGGGTTTGTTGACTTTTTAGATACAATTCTAAAATTACAATCCATGAAAGAAAAAATTGATATACTGGACTTCATTAAAATTAAAAGTTCCTATTCTGTGAAAGACAACTAAAAGCATAAAAAGATAAGCTATACAGTAGGGGAAAATAATTGCATAACACATCTTTGATAAAGGACTGGTATCCAAAATATACAAAGAACTCTTAAAACATAACAATAAGAAATAACCCAGTTACAAAATGGGGTAAAAGTCTAACAGATAACTCACCGAAGGAGATATACAGATGGCAAATAAACACATGAGAAGATGCTCAATGTCATTATATCATTAGGGATTGAAAATAAAACAAGATACCACTACACATCTATTGGAATGGCAAAAAATCCAAATCACTGACAAGACCAAATGCTGGTGACTATGTGCAGTAACCATAACTCCTATTTCTTGCTGATGGGCATGAAAAATGATACAGCCATTTTGTAAGACAGGTTGGCAGCTTCATACAAAGCTAAACATAGGCTTACCAGATGATCCAGCAATTATACTCCTAGGTATTATATTTACCCAAAAGAGCTGCAAACTTATGTCTACGTAAGAACCTGCACACAATGTTTATGGCAGCTTTACTCATAATTGCCAAAAACTGGAAGCAAACAATATGTCTTTGAATAGGTGAATGGATAAACAAACTGTGGCACTTACAATAGAATACTGTTCAGCTATATAAAGAAATGAGTTACTGAGCCATGAAAAACCATGAAGGAACTTGAAACACATATGCTCAAAAAGAAGCCAGTACAAAAAGGCTTCTTTCATACATACTGTATGATTCCAAAAATAACACAAGTATAGAGACAAAAAAAAGATCAATGGTTGTCAGGGGCTCAAGGGAATACATGAGGAGGGATGGGTAGGTGGAGCACAGGGCATTTTTAGGGCAGTGCATCTATTCTGTGTGATCCCATAATGATGAATACATGGCATTATGCATTTGTAAAACCCACAGAACTTTACAGCATGATGCATAGTGAATCTTAACATACTTCACTAAATGATGGATCAATACTAGCTCGTCAAATGTTACAAAAGTACCATACTAATGCAAGATATTAATAATAGGGAAACTACAGGAGTGGAGAGAACGGTATACAGGAACTCTGTTTTCTGCATCATTTTTCTCATTTTTCTGTGAACCTAAAACTGCCCTAAAAATAGTCTATTAAAATATCTTAAAAATAATACATTCTAACTATGAAAAATCAAGCTTTTATGAGAAATTACTGGCAAATAAAATACTCAATAAGACAATTTTCCAAATACCGATGCTTACCACCTAAGCACTAAAATTTAGAACCTTAAAAATAGTTTTGCATAAGAATTTTCCTTAAAAATATGTCTCTTCTCTATTTTGTATAACAAAATATTTTAAATATAATTTCACCCTCTTGATTTGAACTAACTTCAATTATTAATACTATTATGTCACAGAATATTGAGGTTTCAGGCCACTGCCAGAGTATACTGAGTTAGTAATTCTACTGATTCTTCCACTGTTTTCAGCTGCAAATTTTTAGTCCAACAGCTTTTAGCAGCCACCTACTTCATATTTCCCAATCTGCTATCTACTAAAACAAGCTGAAATGAAAGTTTAAGGTAAAATTAGATGAGCAGACTTATTAATAACTTTTTATTTTAAATACAACTTTAGATTAAAAGGCCTTTGCATGAAAGCATCCACTTAACTACAGTATAGGGGCAGCCACAAGTGATAACTATTTCTTTCCTGGCTCACAGAGCATTTATTTTTTATTTCTAGTTTTATGATAGTATTGAGGTAAAAGGAAGTCTTAATGTCATGTAAGGGCAGAAACTTTCACTTAAATTCAATGTGGCATATTTTTAAAGTCCTACCTACTACATAGTCACATATTTCCTTCTTGAAACGTTTCTTTTCATTCTCTTTCAGCTTTCTTGATTTCCCTTGTGCAATTCCAACACCTCCTCCACCCTCCACCTTTTTGTCTTATCTCCTGAATTTTTAGGTTCATTTTACGTTTTGTGGTCTTCAGTTCCTCTTCAACAACAGCTGCATTCTTCTAAAAGTAGAAGGAGAAAAGGTTCTAAATAATCTGAAATGACAGGAAAAAATTGTCTATAGGTATTATCAGATCCAATCAGGTTTTCTTCTGGCAACCTATACATACATGCCATTTTTAATATGGTTATAATTCTTTGTTACAAGCCTGAAGTAATTATTACCATGAGTTATTTAGCAGGAAGGTTATTTTATTATATATGCATATTATATATACATGATTTCTATAATTTCCTCTTTTATATCATAAATAGTGATTAATTGCACCCACCTCCTATATAAAATTCAGTATTTAGCAGATAATCTGGTAATCAATCGAAAGACATTTTACTTACAGGGTAAATTCTTAATTTTTTTAAGAACTCTATTTTTTCCACCTTCAAATATTATTCATGCTTACGAGCTGAGGATGAAAAAGACAGCTTTCCCTACTCACTCCTTTTTTATTAAGATGAATGGCACCACAATCTCAGATGTAAAACCTCTGAGCCATCTTTGCCTTCATTACTGCCATCAGTTCTTCCCAGTACCATATTCTAACAGATCTTTTTTTAAAAGAATATTCTTCTTTCTTTTCAAAATGCCACAACCCTAGATCAGACCTAATTTGGCTCATGCCTCAAATAATGCCATGGATTACTAATTGGTTTCCCTGCCTCCAATTTATCTCCCTGTTTTCAATATCCTGTAATACTGCTAAATTTGTTTTCCTGTTTTCATTATGTCACTTCCATATCAAAAATCTTAATCTTTCAAGTAGTTGGGGTTGATCCTATGGGGAGTGCTGTCTTGAAAGGATCAACCTCCAACTACTAATTATTATTGATTTTGAGCTGCTCTATAATGTCATTGCTAGCTAATATCCAACTTATTTCCCACAAACAAATCCTCACTCTTGAAAGGCTAGTTTATACATTTCCCCTAGCTGTGCCCAGTAGAAACATCTGGGTTCAAACCTGAGTAACAAGAAGATGATAGGCATGTGTGATCTTAGACAAGTGATTTCTCCCAGGGACCCAGTACTATCATTGTTAAAAAACAGGGACAGAATATCCTACTTCCCAAGGTTTTGCAAAGATTAAACAAAATGACACGTTGACCATTTATTATGTTGCATAGCCCATGAAGGGAGAACATTGTCAGTTTCTTTTTCAAGGAGTCCTTATTCTTTGCTGCCTCTGCGTATGCTCCTTGAAATTTCCTCACCCCTATACTTTGCTTCTAAAGGTCCTAACCCTTTCCTGAAGCCTACCTAATCTATTCTAGATAGGGCATCCTCATCCTCTCAAACATGTCTGAACATAAAGCCCTTACTCGGCAATATTCACTTTTTGTCCTATACTATACTGTAACATTTCCTATACTCCTATTTTTCCCTTATTGAATTTTTCATGCTGTGGCTTGTTCTCCCAATGGGCATAAGAGTTCCTGAAGAGCACAGGAACTCATACCTCTGGACCCTTACCATCACTTGTATGCAGTAAGCGTTGTATAAATAATCAATAACGGACAGCACACAGTGGTTTAGGTTATCGATGCAAATGTCATAGGCCAAGAGTCCTCAATTCAACATGCCAAATGTCAAATACCGAGAATCTTCATATCATCGCCTATTTTTAAAAGACAGTGTCATAGGTCTGTTGCCTCCTACAGCTAACACATAACAGTATGTACTTCAGAACTCTAGACTCAAACCTTTGTTTGCAAGGCAATCTCCAGAGTAGTAGTCAACCTCTGCACCTCCTCTTGTGCCTTGTCTTCTTCCTCTTTTACAGCTCTCAGTTGCTGGGGCAAATTCATAACTTCGAGACGCAACAGCTTCAGATCCTTAGAATGCTCATCCTGTATTGTATTCAATCGATCTTTCAGAAAAGCTACCAGGCAGCACAGGAGGGGCATCAAGCAGTAGAAAGTCAGTGAAGGAAATCAAGCACCTACACAGGACCAAATTTCTGATGATTCTTATCTCTATATCTGTTTTCTGAGGATTCAAATCCTTTTCAGTTTGCAGGCAAAAGATATTCATCTTCAAGGCCTGAACGAGGCTTTCAAGACGGCACATTCGATTTACCAGAAACTCACAGTTATTCCATAAAATGTCAGTTTTTCCTGCACAAATTACTTCATTTTGGATAGGACTAATGACTTTCTGGCTCTCCAGGTCTTCTAAACAGCTTGGAATTTCCAACTGGCCTCTGGACAAAGATCCCAATATAACAATATTATGCAATGCAGTTTCTACTACAGTAATCCCAACAATTGAGTCAATGTAACATTTCCAGTAAGAGTAACTGGAGAGTGACATCACCAACATGGCAGACCTCTCACTCTCCCTCATGTATGGACACACTAAATAAACATCTATACACAGATCTATTCCCTCTGAGACAAACTCAGAAACAAGTTGAGAGACTCTTCTGTATCTGGCAACTGAGAAAATACTCACATTGTAGGAAAAGCTGAGGCACACTCAGGCCCAAACCCCACCCCAGGCACTGTAGGAAGGTATTCCCAACACCCACCCTCTCCCTGACGAGAGAAGGGTTTGGATCACATATGTAGAGCCCTAACTCTAAGATTCCCCACAGTGTGGCTCTTGATTCACCTAGCTCTAGGGACAGAAGGGATTAGGCATACATGAGTCTCCCTAGACCTTAGAACAAAGAAGTGATTATATATGGGTTTGTAAGCATTTACAGAGGCTTCATCCCCCAGCATCAGGGTAGAGAAGGGACTAAAACTCAAAGCTCCCAGTTTCTGCTTGGAAGAGGATTGCCAGTGTACTCTGTCAACTGCTGCTGTTAAGAATTGAGCATCGAATTTGAGGCCTTAGAAATAGAAATTCCATTTGACCCAGCAATCCCATTACTGGGTATATATCCAAAGGACTATAAATTGTTCTACTATAAGGACACATGCACACGAATGTTCATTGCAGCACTGTTTACAATAGCAAAGACCTGGAACCAACACAAATGCCCATTGATGATAGACTGGATTGGGAAAATGTGGCACATATACACCATGGAATATTATGCAGCAATCAGAAATGATGAGTTTGTGTCGTTTGTAGGGACATGGATGAATCTGGAGAACATCATTCTCAGCAAACTGACACAAGAACAGAAAATGAAACACTGCATATTCTCACTCATAGGCGGGTGATGAAAAATGAGAACACATGGACACAGGGAGGGGAGTACTAAACACTGGGGTCTATTGGGGGGAAAAGGGGAGGGCCAGTGGGAAGGGCAGGTGGGGAGGGATAGCCTGGGGAGAGATGCCAAATGTGGGTGAAGGGGAGAAAGGAAGCAAAACACACTGCCATATGTGTACCTATGCAACTGTCTTGCATGTTCTGCACATGTACCCCAAAACCTAAAATGCAATAAAAAATTAAAAAAAAAAATAAAAAAAAAAAGAATTAAGCATTGGAGAAGATCCAAGATGGCCCCTTAGAAGCAGCTCAGAATTGCAGCTCCCAGTGAAAACTCAGAGGAAGAGTGGACGCCACATTTCCAGATGGATCTTTATTGCCCACAGACCAGGAGATTCCCAGGCGGAGAAGCCCCACGGGTCGCTAGTGCGGCTGTTTCACCAGTGCCCTGGTGCGATGGCTCTCTGTACAAAATACACTGGTCTGGTTGCCCTTTTAAGCTGGCAGTCGGAGCTCCGGGAAGGCAGATAAGCCCATTAATCTGATTAAATGAGACTGAAACAGAGAGCCAGGCCAGGAGATTCCCACGCAGAGTCATTGATTCAGCTGGCACAGTGGGTCGCGGCACAGGAAATTACACAGATCCTGGCGCCCGTTCAGCAGGCAACTGGAACACTTGGGAGAGAGTCAACAGTTCAACTGAAAAAAAAAAAAAAAAGGTTCTGAGGCAGGGAGCCAGGTGATCAGGCTCGGCAGGTCCCACCCCGACAAAAACAAACAAAAAAAACGGCAATTGGAAACACTCAAGGTTGAGAGTTTCATAGCAAGCACAGCTGAACCTAAGATGGTCCAGCTCTGTGGGGGAGGGGCGTTCCACCATAACTGAGGCACTCCACCCCTACAGAGGTAGTCCGCCATTGCTGATGCACCCTGCCGTTGCCGAGGCAACCTGCCATAACAGAGAGTCTGCCATTACAGAGGCGGGGCACCATTGCCAAGGCAGTTCTAACCACACACCCATATAAACAGGACCACGGGGAAGTTCATAAGGCAGCAAGGCAGAGCCCACAGCAGCTCAGCAAAGCCTCTGCAGGCAGACAGTGACTAGGCTGCCTCCTTGCTGGGCAGGGCAGCCCTGAAAAAAAAAAGCAGCAGCACAATGGATACTCATAAATAAAGCCCCGGGACAGAGCACCCAGGGAAAAAAAGGGGGTTTATGAGATCTGCTATAGCAGACATAAACATACCTGCCTAGCAGCTCTGAATGAACAACGAAGCCCACAGCTCAGCACTTGAGCTCCTATAAAGAACAGACTGTCTCCTCAAGCAGCTCCCTGACCCCCGTATATCCAAAGATTCACCTCACAAAGGACTGATCAGGCTGACATTTGGCAGGCATCATTCTAGGACAAAGATAGCAGAAGAAGAAACTGGTAGCAACCCTTACTGTTCTGCAGCTGCTGCAAGTGATCCCCAGGCAAGCAGGGCCTGGAGTGGACCTCAACAGTCTTACAGCAGAGGGGCCAGACTGCTAGAAGGAAAACTAAGAAATGGAAATAACTTCATCATCAACAATCTGGATGTCCACTCAGAGACCCAATCTGAAAATTAGCAACTACACAGACGACAGGTGGATAAATCCACAAAGATGGGAAGAAACCAGCGCAAAAAGGAGGAAAACACCCGAAACCAGAACACCTCTCCTCCTACTAAGGATCACAACTGCTAACCAGCAAGGGAACAAAGCTGGACAGAGAATGAGTGTGATGAAATGACAGAATCAGACTTCAGAAGGTGGGTAATGAGAAACTTCCCTGAGCTAAAAGAACATGTTCTAACTTAATGCAAAGAAACTAAGAACCTTGAAAAGATTTGAGGAAATGATAAGAAGAATGGACAACTTAGAGAGGAACGTGAGTGAATTGATGGAGCTGAAAAACACAACATGAGAACTTTGCAAAGCATGCACAAGTTTCAGCAGCCGAATTGACCAAGCAGAAGAAAGGATATCAGAGGTCAAAGATCAACTAAATGAAATAAAACGAGAAGCCAAGATTAGAAAAAAGTGCAAAAATGAATGAACAAAGTCTCCAAGAAATGTGGGACTATGTGAAGAGACCTAATCTCCGTTTGATAGGTGTACCTGAATGTGACAAAAAGAATGACTCCAAGCTGGAAAATACTCTTCAGGATATTATCCAGGAAAACTTCCCCAACCTAGCAAGGCAGGACAATATTAAAGTCCAGAAAATACAGAGAACACCACAAAGATATTCCTCAAGAAGAGCAACCCCAACGTACATAATCATCAGATTCACCAGGGTTGAAATGAAAAAAAAAATGCCAAGGGCAGCCAGAGAGAAAGGTCGGGTCACCCAGAAAGGGAAGCCCATCAGACTCATAGCAGATCTCTCGGCAGAAACCCTACAAGCCAGAAGAGAGTGGGGGCCAATATTCAACATCCTTGAAGAAAAGAACTCTCAACCCAGAATTTCATATCCGGCCAAACTGAGCTTCATAAGTGAAGGAAAAATAAAATCGTTTGCGAACAAGCAAGTACTCAGAGATTTTTGTCACCACCAGGCCTGCTTTACAAGAGCTCCTGAAAGAGGCACTACACATAGAAAAGGACAACCAGTACCAGCCACTCCAAAAACATACCAAATGGCAAAAAGCATCAACAAAATGAAGAATCTGCATCAACTAATGGGCAAAACAGCCAGACAGCATCAAAATGGCAGTATCAAATTCACATATAACAATATTAACCCTAAATGTAAATGGGCTAAATGCACAATCAAAAGACACAGACTGGCAAATTGGATAAAAAGCCAAAACCCATCCGTGTGCTGTATCCAGGAAACCCATCTCACATGCAAGGATACACAAAGGCTCAAAATAAAGGGATGGAGGAAGATTTACCAAGCAAATGGAGAGCAAAAAATAGCAGGAGTTGCAATTCTCGTCTCTGATAAAATAGACTTTAAAGCAACAAAGATCAAAAGAGACAAAGAAGGACATTACATAATGGTAAAAGGATTGATACAAGAAGAGCTAACGATCGTTAATATATACGCACCCAATACAGGAGGATCCAGAAACATAAGGCAAGTTCTTAATGACTTACAAAGAGACTTAGACTCCCACACAATAATAGTGGGAGACTTTAACACTCCACTGTCAATATCAGACAGATCAACCAGACAGAAAATTAACAAGGATATCCAGGGCTTGAACTCAGACCTGGAACAAGCAAACCTGATAGACATTTACAAAACTCTCCACCCCAAATCCACAGAATATACATTCTTCTCAGCACCACATCACACCTACTCTAAAATTGACCACATAATTGGAAGTAAAGCACTCCTCAGCAAATGCAAAACAACTGACATTATAACAAACAGTCTCTCAGACCATAGTGCAATCAAGCTAGAACTCAGAATTCAGAAACTAACTCAGAACCTCACAGCTTCATGGAAACTGAACAACTGGCTCTTGAATGTTGACTGGGTAAACAATGAAATGAAGGCAGAAATAAAGTTCTTCGAAACCAATGAGAACGAAGACGCAACATACCAGAATCTCTGGGACACATTTAAAGCAGTCTCCAGAGGAAAATATATAGCAATAAGTGCCCATATGAGAAGAGTGGAGAGATCCAAAATTGACACCCTATCATCAAAATTGAAAGAGCTAGAGGAGCAAGATCAAAAAAACTCAAAACCTAGCAGAAGACAAGAAATAACTAAGATCAGAGCAGAACTGAAGAAGATCGAGACACGAAAAACCCTTCAAAAAATCAATAAATCCAAGAGCTGATTTTTTGAAAAGATCAACAAAATAGACAGACCACTAGCCAGACTGATGAAAAAGAAAAGAGAGAACAACCAAATAGATACAATAAAAAAATGATAATGGGGTAATCACCACAGATTCCACAGAAATTCAAACCATCATCAGAGAATATTATAAACAACTCTATGCACATAAGCTAGTAAACCTGGAAGAAATGGATAAATTCCTGGACACCTGTGT